TATCTCTTACATAAATAAATAAATAAAGATTACAGTTTGGTTTTTAAACAACTGAAAGAATTTGATGTACACTACTAAAAAGTAAAGATTTAAGCTACCCGCCCCTCCGTTAATATCCTCTCAACTACTGTCAAGCTATTTGTGGCCATTTGTAAAAATCACAAAAATATCCTTTTGTAAAAATAAGTGATGCAGTCAGGCTGATTGTACACGATGCTAATACAACGAAATCCTGCACGATATTAATTTCGCAAATGAGCAATTGTTTCTTTATGAATTACTTACTATTGAGATATTCAATCAAATTGTTCTCCTACTATAGTCTTGAAATTCGCCCATTGATAAATATGTGTGCGGTAGGACATTTGGTTTAAATTGATTTATTGTTCCGATTTCAAATTGTCCATTTTTTTGTCAATATATGATTCAAAAAATCTTTAAATAGAACTAAAAACGTTTCAAAGGATGTTTAAAAGGCAAATAAAACATATTTGTTGCAGACTGAGTGCAGACTGAATAAAAAATGCAGGGTTTCTAATAAAAGTAGGTCCCAAACGAGTATAATATTCAGTGTAGTCACAATCCAGGAGGATAGCATTATGGATTTGTAGAACAAGACAAAGAACTTTCTTCGAAGTTCTCGTTCCCGTTTTAGTTTTTGTATAAATTCATGTGAAATTCAATAAATTCTTTTGTCAAACCACCTTGCAATGCTTATTCACGGTTGTGCGCCTTGCCGCCGGTTACAATTTTGGTGTCAGAAGTGGGATTGCATATGCCAGGTTATCCTGAAATTCGGACTGGTATGGACGCAGTCGCTAGACCCTATAGAAACTGAAAATACGCTAACATGCCAGATTATCCTGAAATTCGGACTTGTATGGACGCAGTCAATAGATCCTAAAGAAACTGAAAATACGCTCATATGCCAGGTTATCCTGAAACTCGGAATGGTATGGGACACACTTACTAGACCCTATATAGACTGAAAATACTCTCATATGCCAGATTATCTTGGACGTAGTCGCTAGACCCTATAGAAACAGAAAATACGCCCATATGCCAGGTTATCCTGAAATTCGGACTTGTATGGACGCACTCACTAGACCCTAAAGAAACTGAAAATACGCTAATATGCCAGGGGCAACTCGCTGATTGGTCTAGAGGAACAATGGCTAGCCCGTGCGCCCAGCCGTTACGGGGGAGAGTATCGCGGGCGCACGAAACCCCAACGGCTGGAACTGAGCCTACCCCAGGACTAGGGACACTCACACTCTCGATCCCAGAAGGTAACATTCCCAGAAGGTAACATTGTGTACGATAAGTTTGTTTTCAAAGGCAACTTTAATATACAAATGGCTATTGAATAAATTATTACAAATTTTTAGTCAGTTTAAAAAGCATTATTGCATTTTTCTCATTTTTACTGTTGTCATGGCACCACTGTTTTTAATATAATCGAGTACTTTAATAATATATAATGTAAAGTATATAATGAAAACTAAATAGGTTATGGTGTAGCACCAACCACAACACAAAAAGCGCTGCTTCGACCATGCCAAACAAGTCAACATTAAATGATCTGATACAGCATTGCAAAGTATGATGTCAACGCTTCTGTTGAATTCTTGCAAATGTTAGCGCTGTTGCTATGCTTTGGGACAGTAATTTGCATTATTGCATTTTTTCTTATTATTAAAAAAATATGCTATAGTCCCGCTGAATCTCCTCTTGATTCAATTCAAAACTATTCTTCAAAACAAGGTACTTAGGTTCTGTTTTCATGGCACCACTGAATTCAATATAATCAAGAAAGCCGGATGTATACCCTTCGTACCCTTTTGGCACTTGCCGAAAACTAAATAGGTTATGGTGTAGCACCAACCACAACATAAAAAGCGCTGACTTCGACCATGCCAAACAAGTCAACATTAAATGATCTGATACAGCATTGTGAAGTATGATGTCAACGCCGAGGGGATGCACCCGTAGTGTTGGAAACGTGTGGTGTTCACTGTGGCGCTTCTGTTGAATTCTTGCAAATGTTAGCGCCATTGCTATGGTTTGGGACAGTGCTGATATCGTTGTCTTTTCTGAAACACTTTTTTTCCCTTCAATAACAACTTTGTCTGGGGAGGCACCTGCAAACAAATTAGAATAATACAATATTTTATCTTTCTGCGAAAAGAATAAGCCTTTTATACTTTAGTGTGGCGTGCGGTCACTACTATACCATAGCAATATAGCACGACTTTTGTGCACTCATCCGTATCGTACACGGGAACAAACGCCGATCTTATCATGCGCCGTTGGGAATTCGTTGTTGATTCAGACGCCGATCTTATCACTACGATAACAATGAAAGAATTGTGCGATAAAATATGTCAATCATAGGTCTCTTGCCGCACCAATCAAAGGATCTGTTGGCTGGCGAACAGCGTTTTTCAAAAGACAATCATTCCACAAAAACTATAATATGGCAGATTATTCCAAAAGTGTTACAGTTTGTACCTGTAGTACGAGGCTTCTTTGGTTGAGGAACACCTGTAAATCAGGAAATGGATAAAAGGATTGAGGATTTTTGTTACTATTCCCTCGCCGGTGTTGTTATATGAAATTATTGTCTGCGGTATAAAACACATGAATCATAGGCATCATATTGCAGGAGATGTATCTATAGACAAATTAGACATGTAAATGAAATAAATTTAAAAATGCTGTACCTTTTGAGGTCAATTTTTTTGGAGCTTCTTCTGGGTCGTCCTCTGGAAAGAAATTGAAATAAGTGAATATACGATAACAATGACAAGAAATGTGCGATAAAATATGTCAATCATAGGTCTCTTGCCGCACCAATCAAAGGACCTGTTGGTATACCTTAAACGTGTTGTATTTAAAAGCATTTCAAGAGAATCGTGCCATTAATTGAGTTATGTAACACGATCAAGATTTGGTTGACAAGGGTTGTTGGTTGTTTATTATGCATGGGATATTCAAGGTCTTTGATACGAGTCACATGATCGATGACATCACACCATTTGATTGACAAGGGTTGTTTGTTGGTCGTTGTTTGTCATCATGTGTTTTATACCGCAGACAATAATTTCACATAACAACACCGATGGAATAGTAACAAAAATCCTCAATCCTTTAGTCCATTCCCTGAATTACTCTGGGATCAGGCCAGGATGCTTTGAACGGCACTGCGACAACAAGGACTAGAAACTATAATATACCTGTTTCATCAGGCTCTTCAACAGAAGGTACTGAGTCAATGGCAACTGCAAAAAGGGGAGAACAACATTAAATATATGCACAACTACTGTATGTGACAAGAGCTTTATACAATAAGGGGGTACATGGTGTACCATAGAAATTGTAATGGTTCCAGAATTATAATAGTATGATATGCCAGCCGCAGTCACAGGAGTGGGGCCAGTTTGTAGCAAGAAAGATTGTTCTTGCTGTGAGCCTCAGTTTGCTTTTAGATTTACCCCATTAATACAGTTGATTTTGCTCCGACGCAATGGTCATACTTATCTGCTTATGGAGCGTTTCCTTCTTACCCCTACCCCTCTCTTCATTTTTTGCTCTCCCTATTTCCCATGTGGCCACAAACTCGGGTTTCTCTGAGCGCTGAAGCTCCAGGAAAACACTTGCTATGCAGGCTACCATGACTGGCCCACTCAAAAAATATTTGGGTGGTGTGTACTGCTTGCAGTCATGTACATAAATGTTCTGATCTATACAGAGCAGACAAAAGCATCAAACATTGCGCCAATGTACAAAGTTGAAATTGAAAGTGACCATTGTTCGGAATTGATACCAAACTACATTGGAATAATCTATGAAATAGCGACTGTTAATATTACCTCTACTTACATCGTAGATGCTAAAACTATGTGGTCCCTTTTATAACTTATGGCAAAAATATTGAATAAGAATAATAATAGACTGATATGTATTGCAATGGCACATGCATGCAGGTGACATTACAAACAGCTGCTTTCCCCACTGTGGTGAATTTTATTGGCGAACAGGGACATCATTCATCCTCTTCTCCTTGAACAGGCAAATTTGTACCACAACATACCTGCTCCTGGTCCTACGTTTTGAGACTGTTCCTTTGGGCAAGCAATAATATCTGGCTCACCATAATAGCCATCTTCATAACCTGTAAGAATGAGCAAAACCCGATTCAAATCTGCAAAACCCAAGAATTCAAATCTGCAGTCAAAATTTTCACAGCTTGGTGTTGCCAAAATGTGTTCTATGACTCTTTGTGAATGAAAGTAACTACCCTGGCTAGTGAATTAGCAATGCACTTTTTTGGCGCTTTTCCGCCCATTTTATGCTCTTGCTAAACTTGTAAAAAAAAAACAGTTTGTGATGCGTGATCAATGCGACCAATCAGACAATTCTTTCTGATGGTGAGAGTGATTCAATTTTCCCGAAAAAGCAGAAATTTTTAACTCGGGTGTCTAGAGGGGGCTACCATCATCGGGTTGTTTCAGTAACAAGTCGCTTTGAGTTATTAGCCCCCTCTGGATCCAGGGTAGAAAGTAACAGGCTAACAGGCTAATCTAGGTGGGTCATGTCTTAACTAAAAAAAAGTTACAGAAATCAGGAAATTAACTAGAGAGAGTAAGAAATCAGGAAGTTAACTAAAAAGAGTAGGTATAGAAACAAAGATACTACAAAAAATACAACAATAATGACCATACCCATTGCTATTCCTGTTAAGCCAAAGTCATCTGGCAGTTTTACATCACTGTTTGTCATCGCAACCTTGTCCTCGTCCTTGACACTGTTAATTATACACGTGCCACCTGTAAGTGGCTGAATGACCTTACAAGCCAAAAACACATTAAACTTTGATTCTGTCTTCTGAGGGACTTTCAATGTCTCCAGGAGCTCCTTAGATTTGTCCATTACATCTAAAAGGCGTGTCAAAGCCATTTTAGTTTCTTCGTCAAAGCCATCTGGGTTTTCTAAGGCCTTCTGTATGTTATCAAATAAATCCTCAGTGACTATACTGACCTGTAGGGTTAATGGAAGAACAAAAATTATATAATAAAACCAAACATCATTCAGTTTTATCTGTCAGATTGATTTCTACTCTGCACCATACGATTCATGCTATTATCGACTGATTTGGATTTTCAATCTATTGAATAGATTGCCATCTATTGAAAGAAGTTCGAAGGGGGACTACTGAGTTTTTTCCAAGCGGTCAGTACAAAATGCAGACTGCAGACTGGGTACAAAATGCAGACTGGGTACAAAATGCAGACTGCAGACTGCAGACTGGGTACAAAATCAGACTGTCATTTTATAACTTACCAGTTGTCACGCAATCCCTTTTCAATGTCGTATTCTATGGAAACTCGCATTACCAGGGAAAATTATTTCTCTATTACTCAAAATTCACTTATTAAATGCAGTCTCGAAGGTTGATCCGTTATTAAACATCATTTAGGCATTCTTACTTCAAGCGCAAGATCTCATAACTTAAAATTACAACATTCATTGCAACATGATACTGACACTTGACCAACACATGGTCGCTTTCAGTTGCCTCTTCGCGGGTTCGTCATACTTTCAATAAAGTCCTTCGTCTTGTTTATTCTGGGGTGTTTATTCGTCACTCGCACGGCCGCTTTGCGGCCTTTAGGCTCGCTTCGCTCGCTTCGTGGGCTTTTAGGCTCAGTTCGCTCGCTTCGTGAGGTCGACTTGTGGCAAGTCTAGTTTGTCATGGCAGCCTTTCGGAGGTAATGCGGTAAGTAGCAGTTAAATGACCTTCTTTTTACCAATGTGTGTTACCTAATATAAAAATACTTATACCTCGTAAACCAGGATAATACCAAAATTATAATCAGGAGAATTTTTTGAGGACACGATTCCGTGACTGATCGATCGATTGTTTACATTTGTGGTTTTGTCACATCCGATCATGAAGACCACACAATTTCTACACAAAATGAAATCATTTCTTTTAATGAACATTGTTTTGGCCTCAGTCTGATTTTCTTTTTGAAAACGAATATATTTTTATTTTGGAATTGACCTTCGAGACTGCATTCAAAAAGTATATTTCGAGTAATGGAGCAAGATCATTCCCTGGTAATGCGAGTTTTCGTGGAATACGACATTGAAAAATTTTATCACATTTCAGACGGCAAAAAACAGTTTCAAATGACAGTCTGCATTTTGTACCAAGTCTGCAGTCTGCAGTCTGCATTTTGTACCCAGTCTGCATTTTGTACCCAGTCTGCAGTCT